GTACCGTGCAAGACTGCCGGTCTATGAGCGCAGTGGTACAGTGCAAGACTGCCGGTCTATGAGCGCAGTGGTACAGTGCAAGACTGCCGGTCTATGAGCGCAGTGGTACAGTGCAGAGCTCCCGCGTCCTTACTGAGGTGGCGCTTTGAGGAAGCAAATGCTGTGGCGTCAAAATACTGACAGGCAGCAGCTCTAAATTATGACTCTGTCATTATGTCCGCCTCGGGTCCATTAAACTCATGCATTTTAAGTTGCTTTGCTGTGTCTTGAGTTCGGCTGAAGCCACGTCAGCCTTCAGACTCGCCCGTCACAAAGCTGTCTTTCCGCTACCGTGCCAGTAGATTACAAGACACCCGTCCTCCTCTGACCCATTAAGAGAAATGGTAATCCACCCTCTGTCAAGCAATGCTGTCTTTTTGAAGATAAATATTTCATCAGTGCTATTAGAACCTATAAAGAAGAGTAAAAACTTATGGCAATATGTCATCCATTCAAGTTTACCACCAAAATAGCAACAGAGCATCATAATTGGTTTTACGGAAACTCCTGGGTGTATAAATTGCTGGCATCTTTTAACCTGTTTCTTCTCATCTGTACGCTAAACATTATAATATTGCCTTCTTGTAAGATGACCATATTTATGCCTTATTTAAATTAGCTAAATTCAGTGTTATGACACAAGCACAATAACTGGCCTCATGTGCAGCTGACAAACTACATGTCAATCCAAGGGTAAATGATTCCAGAATTACAGGCACAGCACCTTTGAACAAAATCAGTGAATAAAGTATAAAAAATAAAGTTCCGTGCAGGGCTAAATGGGTATTCTAATGAAGTATCGTCGGAAAGAGTGGTTAAAGTCTTTACAGCTGTTTAATCGTTTTTGCCGTATCCGCCATTCTGAACAATATAAGGTGTGTAGTTATGGCAACAAGCCTTTGAACTCCTCTAAAGAGGGATGAGTTCAACGAGAGAAAAGGAAGAAATGCACACTGTTCCTGGCGCCACACTAGCCTGCACTCACCATTACTCTGGGTAAGACTAGCCTGCACTCACCATTACTCTGGGTAAGACNACTAGCCTGCACTCACCATTACTCTGGGTAAGACTAGCCTGCACTCACCATTACTCTGGGTAAGACCAACATAACAAGATGGAACAGTTTTCATTCATATGATGTAGCCATTTCGATATTGATTAGTCTATAAATGCAAAACATATTTCCTAGTAAAATGTTTTTTAGCATACTATACATCTACGTGGATTGAGTCCCAATATCACATTGCCCAGATCGGCCACTCAATGCTGGGTAAGTAGAAAAGGAATATAAAAAATAGCCTAGTGAATTTGCACCAGCACACATCTTCGTAATCACCCCAGAAATGCGGCTGGATTTTGGGTACTCGATGCATGTGTCAAAGTGTGTTTACTCAGTAACTCCATGGCAGAAGCCCCAAAAAAGCATAGGAAAGAGCCACCCCCCACCCCCTTTAAACATGCCCCCAATCTAAGCGAAAGGATAAGCCATCCTTCCCATGGACCCCACCATAGACACACCAGACTGGAACTGATGCACAGATAACCTGGCATGTCTCCCAACCAGTGTTACAGAAGAAGTCAGGGAAGGGCAAATCACTGCAAACACACAAGAAAATGTCTGGCCACATTAAAACAGCTGTTCTGATTTACTGAGCTACGAGTATTTTTACTCTATACCAGTGTTTCTCAATCCATTTCTTGGGGACTCACAGCCGGCCCATGATTTTGCTCCCTCCGAGCTCCCTGCCAGACAGTCCACATTTTTGCTCCCTCATGGGCTGTCTGTGGGTCCCGGAGGAAACACTGCTCTATACTCATCATTGCTTTCAGAAACCAGAGCTCTTCCATTAAACAGGAGCGTTTCGTCAGGATATAATTTTTTTTACAATTATTAATTTATCACATACTAATGTGCTTAACTTGGGCCAATTATGTTCACTAAAGAGTCACGTCAGCCACAGCCTATTAGCCTACCTATTCTAGGATGCCATTTCATGTAACAGCTGCGTTACATAAGTTAAAACAAGCTTAAATGCATTTTGCATATTGATGATTCCAACAACAGGAAACCTTTACTTTGGTTTCAAGCTGAAAGGTTTAAATGTAAGGAAGTATTAAAAATCAATCAATTTTCCACCCGTGCATCCTGGACAGGATCTCAGAGAAGAGACCAGATAAGGCACAAGACTGTAGTACACAGCATGTCAGTCCACTGCAGGACATATAGGTCTACATGCATGCATTCAGACACCAGATCATCCCTGGAAAATGCATTACTGTGGCCTACGTGTGGAGGGCAATACCAGAGAGCACATTGCGATTATCGGACAGTACTTCCACAGTCAGACAAAACATTCCAAATAAACAATAAACTTCACAACTCGCCTGGAGTACTGCTTTAATTAACAGCTTAATCTCCAAATTCATTTACATAAATTATAACCTTGCCTTTGAACTAGTTTCAGGCAGTCACATTTCATTTATTTCAGTCCTATTGTATCTCACTAACTACATGAATGGCCCAGGCTGCTACCAATACAGAACTGGTACTGTCTGGGCTCAGAAAAATAAACAGTTCCATAAATAAATTCTAATTTAAGGGGGGGGGGGGAAACGAAACCCAGTAAATGGTAAATCAATCACCCGGCCGCAGTTAACGTTGACCACTCCTTGCATCTTATTTTTCAAGCGACGCTGGCCTCTTAATGCAGTGTACAGCAGCATATCACCTTGCGTTTAATGCAGCGTACGCAGAACGAGGGCCATTTGAAGTTTGACCACTGCACGCCAATAAGAACTTCCATCATTTCTAGGGTTTTAAAACTGATATTTGGGTTTTTTTGAACAGCTGGTGTGGAGTTTGGGTTAAGCTGATATACCCTGAATTACACTATGGTTTATAAGAAACCGCACAAACCAAAACCAACATTCACCATATTTAATGCTTTTCTATGCTGACAAAGCACACGAATGGTAAGTTTTTCACTCTTGTCACTTTTCTTACAATGCTAACACTACCCTAACCCTAAGACAATGTCAGTTCAATACATGATAAAGTAGCTTTCTTGTTAGACATTACGAAACAGCTAGACCCTAATGGCCCTCTC